GACCGGAGACCTCCCTAGCCCTGCTGTGGACGGGGAAGGTTGGCGATGCGTCGGCGTTCCGGGTCTGGGGATCTCGGGCGTTTGTTCGCGACCTGTCTGCGGACAAGCTGTCCCCTCGTGCTTCTCCCTGCGTCTTCCTGGGGTTCCCCCCCGACGCCCCTGGGTGGCAGTTTTACCACCCCACCTCTCGACGTGTTCTGTCCTCCCAGGACGTCACGTTCGACGAGTCGGTGCCCTACTACCGCCTCTTCCCCTACCGCACTCCGTCCCTCCCCCCACCCCCGCTCTTCTTGGTACCAGGTCCCACCCCGGTAGTCCCCCTCCCCCCTCAGGGTCCTGCCCCTTCAGGTGTGTCCCAGGTAGACGCGGTCGAGCCTGTCGAGGTCACTGGTGACTCTGGTGCTGCTGCGGGAGCTGAGCCTGGGGGTGCTGTGCCTGGGGGTGCTGAGCCTGGAGGTGCCGAGTCTGGGGGTACTGTGCCTGGGGGTGCTGGGCCTGGGGGTGCTGAGCCTGGGGGTGCCGTGCCTGGAGGTGCTGTGTCTAGGGGTGCTGAGCCCGGGGGTGCTGTGCCTGGGGGTGCTTCGTCTCGCCGGGAGCCACTCTCCCCACAGGAGCTGCGTGAGTGGTTTGCCGGGCGCTGGAGGCGTGCTGCTGGTGCTGGTGGTTCTTCGGCTGCAGAGGGCACTACTGCTGCGCGCCCCGCCGGTGCTCGTACTGTGGGTGCTGGAGCTGCTGAGTCTGAGAGTTCTCCTGGAGCTGGTCCTGCTGAGGGTGTTGGCGCTGAGCCTGCCGTTGGCGGCCCGACTGACAGTGCTCCTGGTGCTGCGGCTGGAGGTTTTGGAGCTTCTGGTGGTGCTGCTGGAGGTGCTGCTGGAGTGGGTGCTCCTGCCGGGGCTGCTGGTGCTGTTCCTGCTGTTTCTAGCGTCGCCGCGCGGCCCCGACCGTACTTCGTTCCGCTCCTGCAGCAGGTTCTTGGTCTTCCACCTCCTCCTCCTCCCTTAGAGGGTCCGCAGCCTGTCCGGTCACAGCCACAGCTACAGCCTGCCTCCCCTTTGCCTGCTCCTTCTCCCTACGCTGGTCCGACTGGAGGTCTTACTGAGCGTCGTGAGCCTGCGTCTCGTCCTGTGTCGCCTGTTCGTACTGAGCGCGCTAGTGGTCGCGGGTCGCGTCAACGTCCTCCTCCTGTCCCTGGCACGCACCGGATGTCACTGCGTCCGTCCACTGCTCCTCTGCGTGCCCCTTTGCCTTCTCCTCCTGCTTCCTCTCTTCCTGCTCTTGCCGACCCGGAGTCGGACGCTCTTCGTGCTGCCAGTCCTACTGTCACGCGTCTCCTGGCTACTGCTGTCACTGACCCCTCCTTCGAGTCGTCTGCTGCGTCTGCCCTTGTCACTGAGCTTGTCGACTTTGCTGCGCGCTGTCGTCTAGACTACGCTGCTCGTCTTGTCACTGAGTCTGAGTCCGCCTGTCCTCCGTCCGTCGGGGGTGAGTGTGCCCTTGGCACGGACGTCCTTGAGGACAGGCAGGAGGAGTTCCAGTGTCTGGCCGCCGCTTCACCTCGTCTCGCGTCTGTACTGCTAGCCCCTGAGGGAGACCCGGATGCACCAGACATCCCGACTCCGCGCTCTTACGCGGAGGCGATAGAGGGTCCCTACTCCTCTCAGTGGCAGGCAGCTATGGATGCAGAGATGGCTTCCTGGAAGTCCACAGGCACCTACGTTGACGCTGTTCCCCCTCCTGGGGCAAACATCGTCAGTGGCATGTGGATTTTCAGGGTGAAGCGGCCGCCGGGTTCTCCGCCTGTCTTCAAGGCGCGTTACGTGGCTCGTGGCTTCAGTCAGCGGCAGGGGGTTGACTACTTTCAGACCTTCTCCCCCACCCCGAAGATGACCACTCTTCGGGTTCTGCTACACGTTGCTGCTCACCGTGACTACGAGCTGCACTCTCTCGACTTCAGCACAGCTTTCTTGCAGGGCAGCCTGCACGAGGAGATCTGGCTGCGTCGCCCACCTGGCTTCACTGGGTCTTTCCCTCCTGGTACCCAGTGGAGTCTCCGGCGTCCAGTCTACGGTCTCCGCCAGGCGCCACGTGAGTGGCACGACACACTGAGGACTACGCTCGCGGCACTTGGGTTTGCTCCTTCCACTGCCGACCCGTCGCTGTTTCTGCGCACCGACACCTCTCTGCCGCCGTTCTACATCCTCGTGTACGTCGACGACTTGGTCTTTGCCACAGCTGACACTGCTGGACTCGCCTACGTGAAGTCCGAGCTGCAGAAGAGACACACGTGCACTGACCTGGGTGAACTGCGCAGCTACCTTGGCTTGCAGATCACCCGGGACAGAGCACGCCGCACCATTACCCTGACTCAGTCACACATGGTGCAGCAGGTCCTTCAGCGCTTCGGCTTCACGTACTCCTCGCCTCAGGCCACTCCTCTGCCTACTCGCCACTCGCTCTCAGCTCTGCCTTCGGATGAGTCCGTAGAGTCGAGTGGCCCGTATGCAGAGCTTGTTGGCTGCCTCATGTACCTGATGACCTGCACACGACCTGACCTTGCATACCCTCTTAGCATTCTCGCACGCTAGTTGGGTCTTGTGCCTGTCTTGCCTCACTTTCTCTCCTCTTGACCTTGCTTGTACCTTCGCCTATATATACTCTTGTTCTTGCTTGTTTGCCTCTTGTATATCTCTATATATGATCTTGCATGTGAACTGGCCTTGTGGCCTTTGAACTTGTGCTCGGAATGCGTGGTGACTTTGTGATCCACCCTGAGCTTTGCTTTGCTTTGCTTGACCGGTCTTGTGACCCCTTGTTCTCCCCCACTTTGCCTATGGGGGTGTGTCAGAACTTATAGCTTACTTGTTTCTGTAGGCTATAGTGGGGTATCCCATAGGGGGTACAACCCAATTAGGGTTTCCTATTTGTACTCACTTCGTTCATAGTCATTTCACTTCTCGTTCGTACTTTCTCAGCGCGGGGCCGACGTGGGCCTCCAAGGGCGAGCGTGGGGCCGATCGAGGCCGTTAGGGACGAGCGCGGGGCCGAACAGGGGCCGTGAGGGACGAGCGCGGGGCCGTAAGGGCAAACGCGGGGCCTCCCGGGGCCTTAGGGACGAGCGCGGGGCCGATTCGGGGCCTTGAAGGGCGAGCGCGGGGCCGTTCAGGGCCTCTAAGGGCGAGCGCGAGGCCGTTGTGGGCCTCTAGGGGCAAACGCGGGGCCGTTCGGGGCCCGTAAGGGCATGCGCGGGGCCAATCGGGGCCGTTAGGGACGAGCGCGGGGCCGACGTGGGCCTCTAAGAGCGAGCGCGGGGGCCGATCGGGGCCTCTAGGGGTAAGCGCGGGGCCGATTCGGGGCCTCTAAGGGCGAGCGCGGGGCCGATCGAGGCCTCTAGGTACGAGAGCGCGGGGCCGACGGGGCCTCTAGGGGCGTGAAAGCCGAGGCGCCCTAGGGCGTAGGTAGGTAGGTAGGTAGGTAGGTAGTGGTGGGCCCTAAGAAAAAATCGGTCCTAGGAAGGACCTGCTCTATACCATGTTGAACAATAATGAATGAACTAACACTGAAATGAGTACAAGTAGGAAACCCTAGAAATGTGTACCCCCTATAGGCTAACCCACTGTAGCCTAAATAACTACAACATATATAATGTTTGACATAATCCTCGCATGTGCGATGGTCTCGTTTTCGGCTCTGATGGTAACAAACTCGAACTGGTCGCTCCAACTGACATGCAATGCGCAACTTACACCCTGCAGTCGCCTCGCGGGTTGGTTTCGGCAATGCGCATGTTGACTGCAGGGTGGTTCTGTTGCCCCGCAATTACCCCCCTGTATTGAAATCAGACTGACAGGACTCCCGAAATCGGGAGTCACCCCGAAGGCTTCCAGCTAATTGCTGGAAGCCACAGTTCTTCGTGCGATGCAGTGTGATCCTCCAAGGACGGGAACTTCAGCTAAACATGTTTTCATATGTAAAAGCAAAGCTTAATCATGTATACAGCATCACGTTTCTGTTCAATAAAAGTACATCTTTAAAACACTGATATTTGATGTGAGAAAGGAGCAATTCTCGATGCTAGGGGCCATCAATGGCGTGCCGATGGTGAGCGGGACTGGCCAAGGAACGCGTTGGGCCTCCGTGTGACCAAGTTAGCCGGCGACATGGAGCGATTTCCCTCACCGGGGTGTGTCGGCTTGGGCGAACACTGGTCGGGCGAACAAACGCTTCAGAGTCTTATCGCAAAAGCTCGCAGAGATCGCAAGCGCTTGCGAACTCTGACAGGCATACTCTGACCATTTCCTCCCCATTGGACTAGGCAAGCCAAGCGCGTTCACAGCCTTCGCTTTATTTGTGCATTCTCCCTCAAGCAATAATGCGCTAAGTCCCCGAGTACTCACTCTAGTGTGCGCGAGCGCGCCGCTGGTACGAGGCGGATGCCTTTTCGCCCTGCGCCCGTCGCGCGACGGAGTTTAAATCCCGCCTCGTCCAAACGCTTGTCTTTCTTCCCGTCATACCCCGTCCATTTCTCCCTTGCACGTTTCATTATGACAAAAATTGCCGATTTTTGTGAGCGCGGCGCTCTCTCTCTCCCTCCGCGTGGCACGCGCCTCACCTTTCCGCAATTGCGGAAACTAAACGCGTCACATTCCGCAACGAAACGCTTCACATTCCGCGAGTCCATAGCGCTAGACCAGTTGAATCATGGGAAAAATGAATCAGTGTGCGCACCACACTCTCAGAAAATATATCGACTCCCCCTTCCAAGGCAGTAATCACATTCTCACGCTACTTCCCGCTGACTACTACGTGCTTGCGTCTCGTCTCCGCCTCCTGAGATCGCCCCATTCAAACTCCCAGCCAGTCCTCCTCGCCGCGACTACGAGCGTGAATCCCGACGGTTCAAACCTCTGACTTGGAAGAAGCTGCCTCTCCCCATCGCGCCGTGACCGTTGATCCCCGTCTCCAAGATTCCCCATCCGTCACCCCGCCGGGCCATCGTCGAGATGGAACGCTCCGGGCGGCGCCGGTCTGCCGTTGGCGTTGGCGTGGGTGCACTCGTGGCGGGACTCGTTGCATTTAGCCTCCTCGCGACCCACGCCAGCGCTGGTGAGTGCTGGATGGCTGCCGCCCACCCCTGGCATGGAAAAGACATGACAGCCCACGAGTGTGGGTGAGAGCTTGAGTTGACTTTTGAGTTGAGTCGAAAGTCAACTCCATGATGGCAGCCCACTGGAGTGTGGGTGAGAGCTTGAGTTGACTTTTGAGTTGAGTCGAAAGTCAACTCCATGATGGCAGCCCACTGGAGTGTGGGTGAGAGCTTGAGTGTGGGATGACTGCACTGTCCGTTAGCAAACCATCCACTCTGCTAACCCCCTTTCCCTCTCCCACCCACCTCTGATCGGAACAACCCTTGACTTGCTTCAAGCACGGTGGCGTCACTTTCAGCACTGGCCTTTTCCTTGACTTGCTTGCTCTGCAGACGTGTGCGCGGACGAGAATTGCGGGGACGAAGTGTACTGCATTGAGGGTCCCGATGGCAAGCCCGTGTGCCAGTGCGAGGATGGTCTTCTTGTCTTCGATGAGGTGGATGGGACGTGCGTTAGTGGTGAGTGCTGGAGTCAGATTGCTTTTGAGTCGACTAATAAAGTCACCTTGTCTAGAAGGCAAGCGCGTGTGCCAGTGCGAGGACGCCACGTGCGTTAGTGGTGAGTGCTGGAGTGTGGGTGAGCGCTTGAGTGTGGGTGAGCGCAGTATGGGTGAATGCTGGAGTGTGGGGGAGAGCTTGAGTGTGGATGAGTGCATCGTTCGTTAGCATACTCTCCACTCTTCTAGTATCCCCTTTCTCTCCCCCGCCTTGCACTGCAACAACCCCTTTGACTTCCTCTGCAGAGGCGTGTGCTGGGAAGAAGAATTGAGGGGACGACGCTTTCTGCTTGTGATGAGACAGTTTTGAGTTGACTTTGAAATCCTCCCCCACCTTGCACTGCAACAACCCCTGACTTCCTTTGCAGAGGCGTGTGCAGGGAAGGACTGTGGGGACGACGCTTTCTGCTTTGACTATGCCGATGGCACTGCCAACTGCCGGTGCTATGATTTCTCTCGATTCAACGAGGAGGACGGGACGTGCAGTGGTGGTGGTGAGTGTGGGTGAGTGCAAGTGTGGGCGGGTGAGTGAATTGTTTGTTAGCAAACTGTATATTCTTCTAACTAACCCCCTTTTCCCTTTCCCGCTGCTTGCTTCACATTCAGAACCAGAGGTTCCCGCTGTATGTGCCGGAGTGGAGTGCGGGGATGGCATGTGCTTTGAGAATGAGGATCGCAAGCCCGAGTGTTGGTGCAAAAAAGGCTCTCGCCTTGATGAAGTTACCAAGAAGTGTTTTGTTGGTGAGTGGTGGAGTGCGGGTGAGTGGTGGAGTGTGGGTGAATGGTGGAGTGTGGGTGAGTGGTGGAGTGTGGGTGAATGGAGTGTGGGTGAGTGGTGGAGTGTGGGTTAGTGGTGGAGTGTGGGTGAGTGGTGCAGTGTGGGTGAGTGGTGGAGTGTGGGTGAGTGGAATGTGGATGAGTGGTGGAGTGTGGGTGAATGGTGCAGTGTGGGTGAGTGGTGGAGTGTGGGTGAGTGGTGGAGTGTGGGTGAGTGGTGGAGTGTGGGGGAGTGGTGGAGTGTGGGTGAGTGGAGTGTGGGTGAGTGGTGGAGTGTGGGTGAGTGGTGGAGTGTGGGTGAGTGGTGGAGTGTGGGTGAGTGGTGGAGTGTGGGTGAGTGGTGGAGTGCGGGTGAGTGATGGAGTGTGGGTGAGTGGTGGAGTGTGGGTGAGTGGTGCAGTATGGGTGAGTGGTGGAGTGTGGGTGAGTGGTGCAGTATGGGTGAGTGGTGCAGTGTGGGTGAGTGGTGGAGTGTGGGTGAGTGGTACAGTGTGGGTGAGTGGTGCAGTGTGGGTGAGTGGTGCAGTGTGAGTGAGTGGTGCAGTGTGGGTGAGTGGTGAGGCACAGCGGCTAATTCCACTCTTATTAGTTGTTTTTCCCCTCTACGAACCAACTTTCCCTGCCTCACCTAGGAACAAACTCGTGATTTCCCCCGCAGACATGTGTTCTAGCTATCACACGTACTGCGGGGAAGCTAACTGCGTCTTGAAGGATGATAACACTGCCCAATGCCGGTGCAACGAGGGCTTCGTCTTCCAATAAGCCGACTACACGTGCATTGCTGGTGAGTGCAGTGTGGGTGAGTGCTGCAGTGTGGGAGAGTGCTGCAGTGTGGGAGAGTGCTGCAGTGTGGGGGAGTGGTGCAGTGTGGGGGAGTGCTACAATGTGGGGGAGTGCTGCAGTGTGGGTGCTTACTGGAAAATATGCGAGGTGCTGGACTGTGAAGGAGTGCTGGAGTGTGGGTGGTGCTGGAGTGTGGGTGGTGCTGGAGTGTGGGTGGTGCTGGAGTGTGGGTGGTGCTGGAGTGTGGGTGGTGCTGGAGTGTGGGTGGTGCTGGATTGAGGGTGGTGCTAGAGTGTGCGTTAGTGTACACGATTCATAACCGTAGTCCCTTTCACATCTTCCTTGCCCAACTATACATTGAATCCACCACGAGTTCCCCTCCAAACGCGTGGTGAGTGCAATGGTGAGAGCTGGAGTGTGGGTGGGTGGGTGAAGGAGTGTGGGGGGTGCGTTCTTGAGTGTGGGTTGGTGGGTGCGGTGGGTGGGTGCTGGGTTTTGAGACTGGGTAAGAAAGACAGAGAAGCAAGACACTTATCTGCCTCCTCATGCCACCTTGATTGTTCCCTTACCCACTCACTTTATATGTTTGGGATTGTTTCTCCATCTTTGTGTTTCCAAAAATCATGTGTCACTTGTTTTCTAGTATTTTGATTAAGTATCGTGTAACTTGTTGCCCCTCCTGTGGTTTTTCGTCTGTGTTATCCACCTGTGGCCTACCCCTTTCCCACAGTAGCCCCTTCAGTGGTCCCCACAACAGCTCCATCTGAGGTCCCCACAGTAGCCCCGTCTGAGGTCCCCACAACAGCTCCATCTGAGGTCCCCACAACTGCCCCGTCTGAGGTCCCCACAACAGCTCCATCTGAGGTCCCCACAACTGCCCCGTCTGAGGTCCCCACAACAGCTCCATCTGAGGTCCCCACAACTGCCCCGTCTGAGGTCCCCACAACAGCTCCATCTGAGGTCCCCACAACTGTCCCGTCTGAGGTCCCCACAACAGCTCCATCTGAGGTCCCCACAACTGCCCCGTCTGAGGTCCCCACAACAGCTCCATCTGAGGTCCCCACAACCGCCCCGTCTGAGGTCCCCACAACAGCTCCATCTGAGGTCCCCACAACCGCCCCGTCTGAGGTCCCCACAACAGCTCCATCTAAGGTCCCCACAACCGCCCCGTCTGAGGTCCCCACAACAACTCCATCTGAGTTCCCCCCAACTGCCCCGTCTGAGGTCCCCACAACAGCTCCATCTGAGTTCCCCACAACTGCCCCGTCTGAGGTCCCCACAACAGCTCTATCTGAGGTCCCCACAATTGCCCCGTCTGAGGTCCCCGCAACTGTCCCACCAACAGCCACGTGTTTCAAGGATTGCGGAACTGCGAAGTGCATTGTGGAGGAGGGCAAGGCTCAGTGCAAGTGCCCCTGGGGCCTCGTGTTCAACGAGGCCAAGAAGAATTGCAGCCATGCCTACTACACTCCTGGTAGGTGTCTTTGTCTCTTGTTGCATGTTTGAAAATATAGTCTCAAAGAGAAATTACCTTAGATGTCCAGTTAGACCGATGCTAACTCCTTCCCCTCTCTAACTCGTTTCCTCCACCCTTGGCAGCGGCAGACCCTTGTAAGAGGGGCACACTCAAGCGCGCCAGGAACTCCAAGTGTGTTGTGAGAGACGGAAAGGCGTGTTGCGAGTGTGACACCGGCTACACCAAGAGGAGCGGCCTCTGCACTGGTGAGCTCACCCAGGGCTGTGTTTCAAAGGCTGGTAACCAAGAGTTCAAGAGATCAAGAGTTAATCCTGTGTTTAGAGATAGTGCATGTGTTCACAGTGAGTCTACCTTCGATTCAGTGCTTGTGGGGGTTCTGTGGCCTCTTCGTGCCCCTCCTCCTTCCAAGCCACTTCTTCTCATTTTCCCCTCTGCTAACCCCAGTCAGCTCATACTCTCTCCTCCCTCCCCCAACCCCCACCCTCCTCCCACCTATGTCAGCCGTGTGCAAGCGGGCCTGCCCTGTGAATGCGCAGTGCACGGTGGAGAGAGGAAAGGCGGCATGTCAGTGCAAGAAAGGTTTCAAAATGGTGAAGGGGAAGTGCAAACGTAAGTGAGAGGGAGGGATTTTCTTTCCGTGCACATCAGTTTGACGTATCCGATTGTCTCCTCCACTCACATGCACCCATGAAATACCTGCATGACACATCCTTGCCATCTACTCCCTTTGTATGCCCTCCAGCTGTTTCCCACACATTCCCCAAACTCTTCCCTTCCCTTCCACCCCTCTACCCCTCCACCTACCTCATGTGGCAGCCGTATGCGACACTGCCTGCCCTGCTAATGCGGAGTGCAAGGCGGTGAAAAGAAAGCCGGCATGTCAGTGCAAGGGGGGGTTCCGAATGGTGAATAACAACAAGTGCACACGTAAGGGACCTCAACTGACATGCACCTCCACCACACCACAACCTTCACTTTCAAGCTTGTCCCCCAAGCTTGTCTCAAATTCCAGCACCCACCCACCGCACCCAATTTCAAGCTTGTCCTCCAAGCTTGTCTCAAATTCCAGCACCCACCCACCGCACCCACTTTCAAGCTTGTCCCCCAATGTACAACCTGCCTGCTATATTTTGGTCTTCTAGAATTTCTGGTACACCCGCATCTCTTCCTCGCTCACTGACTTACAATCTTCCCTCTAACGCGCTTTCCCCATCACACGTGGCAGCCGTGTGCCAGGGTAGCTGCCCTGCCAATGCGCAGTGCAAGGTGGTGGGAGGAAAGGCAGCATGTCAGTGCAAGGCGGGGTATCGAAGGGATTATATCAACCAGTGCACTTGTAAGGAACAGAAGGGGGAGGGGAAAAGGGTGAAGTATGCAGTATCTTCCATTAGCTCCACACCACTGTCACCCTACATTCTTATCCCGTTGCATTACACCTCCACTCCACCACCATCCAAATCTTGCTCCCATAGCTTATCACCCCGTTTCATCATCAGTTTCATGTGACTGAGTTGATGGGCAGGGGGCAAGGAGGTGCAAGCTGGCAGCGCCAGAGGGACATCAGACTGGCAGGGGCTGATGGAGGAGAGGTGTGAGCAACTGCATGTGGTTGCTCGGAGGCCAGGAAAGGGGAGGGGACCAATTTGGTTGGCGGCAGTTTCATTTAGTACATGCGCTGAGGATGAGATTATGGTACATGCTTGGTTGGCTTGTTGTAGCATAGAGTTTGAGTTTAATTACCGTATGTTGGAAGATTTGCTAGACATCCTTTGTGTACTAGCTTGGTTATTTGTGTGTGTCTCGTATATTCGTGTGTGTGCCTTCTATCTCTGATTGAATACTTGCATTCGGGGGGAGGGATTTTGGGGTGTAAAGCATAAATATAAAGAACAAAAACAGCTACCACCAAAGGCAGTACTGGTATCACTCTACTACATCTTGACTGAGCCCGCTGCAACCTATTTCTATCAAGACACACAACCTGGACATACCACTCCCTGCCCCGGGTGCCAGGCCTTCACTTGTGCGGCCTCGCAGCACAAGACACAGGCTGTGTCTAATAACAAGACACACAACCTGGATATGCCACCTCTGGGTGCTACGGTAGCATGCTAGGCCTTCATTCACTTGTAATCATACATTCATTTAGTCACAGCTGTGCTGTAGTTACAGCCAGGCCCTCAGATTCGTTTTTGGCCTGTCTGATTCGTCAGACTCTCTCTCAGTATTAGTCTGAAATCCTCAGAGTTGTCTAAAAAAAAAGTCTGAAACGTCAGAGTGTGTTTAAAAAAAAGTCTGAAACTTTCAGAGTACACTCAAGTAAAAGTCTGACTGTGCTTGTTGTAGCCCTAGTAGTAGTCATATTGAAGCAAGCCTACTCCACTTCTCATACAGCTTTGCCTACATTCATACTAGTACTACTACTACTAATGCTGCTGCTTAGCCTTCACAAGATCACAGTTAGAATAGAACTAACTAACTACCCTACCTACATCCAGTCAGCAAATCCATCGTCATCATCACTGTCAACTGCATCTTTCTCAGCGTCTAAGTCTACCACTTCCATCTCGTCATCAACCTCCCTACTCTTCTTGCTCTGTTGCCTTCCTGCAGGCGGGAGTGGAGCGTTGCTTTGGGGCTTGCGCTTCTTGTAGCTCCTCCAGATGGTCACAATTTCATCCCACTTGGGCTCGTAGTCCATGAGACTCATGCACATGAGGTCTCCTAGGCGTGCATCTTTCAGCGCGCCTCTCTGCCACGACTTGATGATGTTCTGGCGGGAGAATCCTTGCTCGCACTCTACTGTGCTCAGCGGCAGTACGGCTACTGCCACCCACAGAAGCATGAGGTTGGGGTAGTTGTCCCGCCAGTCGGGTGTCTTGAGCATGGCAGTGAGCCCGGCGTGGAAGCTGCGCTCATTGTTCGTGGCTTCTGCAAGCACTGAGGAGAACATGCGCAGCTCTTTTTCCGCACGACGCTTGTTGATTCCTGGTGGGGGAGGAAGAGTAACAGTAGACGTTGCTTAGTGAATATGCAGTGAAGCACAACATATGCAATGCCAATTACAACAGTTACATGAGAACTACACAAACATGGGCTTACCGCGCAGGATCTCCTCGGTCTGGTCGGCCTTGAAAAGGGTCACAAGCGACTCCAGCCACTCCATGCACCTACGGTTCCTCTCTCCTCGATCCAGCGGGTACTCGTCGGTGGTGAATAGCCTTGCCCCAGACATCCCTTCCAGATCGCTAAGCCGATGAAGCAGTTGGTGCACGATCACCTCGGCGAACTGGGTGCAGACCTCAATGCAAGCATCGTGGGTCCCAGGCCCATCAAATTCCTCTTGCTCGTCCTCATGCAGCCTGAAGGTGAAGTGTGCAGGGCGGCCGTCCGAGTCGACACCCTCGACAGTAACTTCATTGTTTCCTCCTGGGCCGTGGCGCATGATGAAGGGGGACAGCGGCTCGCTGACGCCGCCACCGAAGTCGTCGCCGCAATCGACGTAGCGGCTCTCGATGTGGGACGTTGTGCGCTTGATCTGCGCATGCACGCCCACTTAGTCAAGCTGGACAGAAACAAGGCACAAGGTAGTTAGCTCATGCGCACGGTAAGCATGCTGGAAAGAAGCAGCACTAGAACTTAGCAGAAGAGGATATTGACCAAGCATGTAACAACAATGATTGGACACTATAACATTGATCTCACCACAGTTGGTTCCGCAGGTGTCTCTGCCACAGGTTCGGCAGACAGTGAGATAACCGGTGCCGTCGGTTCTTTCTGTGTGGGGATCGTATCGGGCGTGGCGCGTGCTGCCTTGTCGAGTTCTAACGTACTGAGAAGAA